GATTGATTACAGCCTATTTCACTTGTCTTTGGACCAAGTTTTACTTCAGATTAGTTTCTTTAAGTTTCAGCCGAACCCTATTTGTGCTATTGTCTTGCTGTAATGGCTTCAGACAGAGGTGATATCATCCCTGTAAAGATGAATGGACATAAGTATGGGATGTGGAAGTTCCACTTCGACTTTTATGTTAAGGGAAAGGGTTTAGAAGGATATCTGAATGGAACGATCACCAAACCAGCTTTGGTACATGTATTTGGAAAAAGTTTATCAACAGTCCAACGTATCTAAGCAATATTAGATAGAATCAGAAATATTATCTTTCAGGCAAGGAGATAGGAGGATATAGGAGTATTATTCTGGTTTTCTTGATTTATGGGCTGAATATGAGATTGTTCACATTGAACCTTCGGATCTAGTGGAGTGTGTGAAATATCTTCAGAAGCACTTTGAGAAGAGAAATGTGACTCGGTTCTTGATAAGACTTAGATCTGAATATGAGATAATTAGGTCCAACATTCTGAGTAGGGAAACACTTCCAGATATGGATTCTATTTTAGGGGAACTTCTGAGAGAAGAAACTAGACTTCTCACTTTAGTCGGGTTCGATGGGAAGATGGCTGAAGTTGGGGCTGAAACAGCCTTTGTTGCTCATAGGGGTAAGAAGCCAACCTTCAAGGCCTCTCCAAAACCCAGTGCTATGAGTGTAAGGGTTTTGGACATATTGCATCTCACTGTAAGAAGAAGAATGTGTGTACTTATTGCAAGCAACATGGTCACATCATTCCAGATTGTCTAGTCCGACCAGCTAAGGGCTCTCAGAAAAAGACTCAGCCCCGGGCTTACTAGGCAACAGATGGACCAGCAACGCACACTGTATCTACCAAGGGTGAGTCTTCAGGAAACTTGTATCTTTTGCTATTTCCTCTGCTTTCTCTGCTATTGGCTTGTATGGTAAGTTCTCTGCATATTGTTCTTCCCCTTCACATGCTTGGATTATAGATTCAGGTGCCACCAACCATATGACAGGAGCCTACCTCAACCACCCAATCCCTTCCACTAAAACTCACCATAAACATATTATTACTTCAACTATCACCAACCAGATCCTTTCCTCTCTCCAAAACCCTCTTAGTACCCAACCTTACTACTAATCTAATTTTTGTTGGTCAATTTGTTGATGAAGGAAATGTTCTCACCTTTTCTCATGATGGTTGCTTGATACAGGACCGGTACACTAGGAAGGTGAAAGGGAAGGGGCATAGGCTGGGCCATCTGTTTGTGTTGGAGTTCGAAAAGTCTCAACCGGGGGCATCCTTAGCTTTACTTAGTTCTTCTTTGTTTGGTTCTATGTTGTTATAGAAATAATGTTTGGGATTTATGGCATAAACGATTGGGTCATCCATATTCCCAAAAATTAAAATTTTTGTTTGACTCTGGTTTGATTAAGAATAAAATTCCCCCTGTTGATACTTTTGATGTTTCTTGCACTACGTGTTGTTTGAGTAAAAGTCATGTTTTACCATTTCTTCATAAATCTGAACATGCCACTAAACCTTTTGAGATAATGCATAGTGATGTTTGGTCTACTTCTATTACTTTACGATTGGGGTACAGATATTTCGTATTATTTATAGATGATTGTACCAGATATACTTGGATTTATTTTCTGCGACACAAATCAGAAGTCTTTGGTGCATTTAAATTGTTTCATACTATGGTGCAAAATCGATTCCAGTGCAGTGTGACTATCCTTCGCTCATATTCAAGGGGAGAATATAGAGATGGAGACTTCTTGGCATATTTGAGGAGTCATGGAATTCAGTCTCAGCATAGCTACCCAAAAACTCCACAACAGAATGGTGTAGCTGAACGGAAGAATGGACACATTCTCAGTGTTGTGCGGACATTACTACAGGAATCTCATACTTCAACTTCGTTTTGGGTAGAAGTAGCCAGTACAGCCATGTATTTGATCAATTTTCTTCCATCCTCTGTTCTAGGCAACACCTCTCCCTTCCAAAAGCTTTTTGGTTATCCCCCAGATTTCTCTAGCCTTCATGTTTTTGGATGTCTTTGTTTTGTTCATCTTCCTGTTCGTGAACGATCTAAATTAACTGGTCAGTCTGCTATGAGATCTTCTTGTCTTCACCCGCAAGTGGCTACGTGTCCCGGCTCCTATGCCTACAATCCCCCTTCCACCCGGTCCAGAGCATTCATCTCAGATATCCTCTGTAAGTGATACCTTGACCCAAGATCCTCCTATTTCAGATAGTAGTTTAGTTATTCCACTTCGTTGTTCTACCCATATCTTTAGACCTCCTGACCGCTATGGTTTTCCTTCAAACCATAGTTCCTTTTCTGCTGTACTTTTTTCCACAGATATCCCTAGATCTTATTAGCAAGCCATTAGAAGATTTCAGTGGAAAGAAGCTATGGATGCCGAAATTCAAGCCCTCCATGAGAATGACACTTGGGATCTTGTGCCAACTCCTCCAGATGGTTCTATTGTTGGAATTCGTTGGGTCTATACAATCAAACTGAAATCAAATGGCTCTCTTGATCGATATAAGGTCCGGTTAGTTGCCCAAGGATACAGCCAGGAATATGGGATTGATTATGAAGAAACATTTGCCCCAGTTGCTAAGATCACCACAGTTCGGACTCTTATGGCCATTTCTATTGTTTATTCCTGGACTATTTATCAATTAGATGTGAAGAATGCGTTCCTTCATGGCGAATTAAAGGAGACAGTCTACATGAAACCTCCGCCTGGATATTGCAGTGATCCTTCACGTGTCTGTCGCCTGAAGCAAGCACCCAGGGCTTGGTTTGAGCGCTTTTGGGATGTTGTTGCAGCCGAGTATAATCAGAGTTCCTCTTACTATTCTTCTATTATATGTTGATGACATGCTCCTAACGGGGGATGACCATGACGGCATCTGAGAGCTGAAGTCCTTCATAACTCATTTCATATGAAGGACCTGGGTCCTCTCACTTACTTCTTGGGTTTGGAGGTTCATTGTAGCAGTTGAGGATATTTTATTTGTCAACAAAAATACACCTCTGATCTCATCAAACTAGCTGGAATCACTGATGAGAAACATGTTGATACCCCCCTTAAGCTAAATGTCAAGCTATCCAAATCTGAAGGCCTCATCCTTCCTGATGCCACCTTGTACTTTCAGCTTGTTGGATCTTTGATCTATCTTACTATGTCCAGGCCTGATATTTCACATGCTGTTCAGGTCGTCAGTCAATTTGTCTCTGCCCCAAGACAACCTCATATGACTGCAGTTCGCCGCATCATCCTATGTTCGAGACACAACCTCTCAGGGACTGTTTTTCTCTTCCTCATCATCCATATAGTTGAGGGTTTATGCTGATGCTGATTGGGCTGGTTGCTCTGACACTCACCGATCCACTACTGGGTGGTGCATCTTCATGGGTGACTCTCTCATCTCCTGGAAGTGCAAGAAACAACAAGCTGTCTCTAAGTCTTCCACTGAAGCTGAGTATAGAGCTATGTCTTCTGCATGTAGCGAGATTGTTTGGCTGAAGTCACTTTTCATTGATCTTGGGATTTCTCTTCCTACTCCTATCCCTCTATATGCCGACAACATCAACGCTATCGAGATCGCATCTAATCCAGTCTTTCATGAAAGGACTAAACATATCGAGGTGGATTGTCACTTTATTAGAGACCTCCTTGTTGTAGGCTCTATATCTCTTCCTCATGTTGCCTCTCACATGCAGATTGCCGACATCTTCACCAAGGCCATGGCTAAGAGTTGACATCTCATTCTTGTGGGCAAATTGATGCTGATGTCTATGCATCAGTTTGAGGGGGAGTGTGAAGATATATCTTGATGTACATTATTAGAGTAGTCCTTGTTGTACAGTATCATATTTATTATTTTATTTGTTCTTTTTATCTTTCAGCCCTGTAAGGGCATTCTTGTAACTGTACATACTTTTTATCTCTTTAATATAAAGAGGCTCTTTGGGGTGGGGGTTGACTATTCTTGACACCCCTAGATCTGGTTTCTTCTAGATCTGAATTCTGTTCACACAAGCCATTGCTGGAACTGTACCCACACCTCAGCCTTGAGGACAAGGCTTTGCTTGAGGAAGGGGGAGTTGTTAGGACCCTGAAAACAGAAGAAAAAGCCCAGGCCCAACTGGATGGTGTTCTGCTACCAGGAGACAAAGCCACTATAGCTGAGTATAAGAAGACGAAACCTGCATGGCGCTCATATGATTGTGTTTATGCCAGGCGCAAATCCCTCCACATCAGCCAAAGCCATTGAGCGTGGTCGAGAATCAGAAGCTGTTATTATTGTAATCATGAGCATTTTCATATAAATATCAGCATTGCTAACGAGGACAGAGATATTTTACCCAATTTCTTCCCTTTTCTTCTTGTAGGAGGTTGTGTTTCCTCGAATAACACCTGTGTTAGGCAGAAACCTAACAAACTTCCTGCCAAATCCTCTTGAACTGTTAACAAGAGGATACTAGTTAGGCTTACCATGCATTGTAAGGTTGATACACAGGATTAGCAAAATAGTTTATTATTCATCATGGATGTAAGCAACCAATTATTGCTTCTTTTGGTATCTGGCATTCCTTTTGTTTCATAGAATGTGATGTTCTACTTGCATGCATGTTTCCGTATTCAGTTGGTCTGTTCAGATGTCTTCCAGGAAATTGTTAATGTTTTTTCTTTCATTGTGTACCTTCAAGATTCCCTATATAATAATTTTTTGTTTGATTTATTTGAGCTATATTTTGATGTCAAGGAAATATACCAAAAGTTCAAAAATAATTGATCAGTCTCTTTGGCCACCACGAAGAAGCCTGCACTTAGAGCATGTTTTTAGGAATTTAGGGCTGGGAACATGCAGATGCTTTATGCCATGGGCTGCATATTTTCTTTCAGTTATTTTCCCTCTTCATCTTACTTTTAGCTGCTTTTAACATACTGTTGTTTTTTCTTGCAGTCTGTCCCACTCCAGTTCTTATATGCACTTCTTGCTTATCTTGGTGACTCAGTTAGTTATGATAGCCCTTCATCTGGTATGAAATCACCTTTGGCTTCACACCCCTCATCATCCTACTATGGGATTAATACTCCCTCTGAAGGACTTGTCAGATGGCAGTTACGCCTTGAGTATTTTGCCTATGAAACTTTGCAAGATTTAAGAATAGCCAAGCTTTTTGAGATAATTGTTGATTATCCTGAAAGGTAACTTCTTTTACATTTTCATTGCCTTAAACTCTCATCATAGCAGCAGATTTTGATAGATCTATAATGAGTTGTAAAATTGGATACATTGTTCATGGTTTATATTTGCATGTTGACATGGTATATTAATACTGCAAATAATTCTACTGGAAATCTTGGTGTTAATTCAAGCATCCTACCATGCTGGTGCTTATTATTATTGAGCTTTGTGTAAACCAAAAAAAAAAAAAGACGAAGGCTAGGGTCATCCAGGGCCAGTTCCTCTTATAAGTATGCTGATGACATTCCTGGTGGAGCATGAACTTCCTGGAAGCTTGGAGGTCAGTAAGTCAGTATTTCCACTCAAGAGCTCTTTCTGTATAACTAGTAACTTGTGGAAGGATGTGCATTAGGTTATCAGAGATTACTAATGGTCTAGGTTAGGGCTTAAAAGGGGAGAAAGGGTAAGAGTTAGAAGTTAATAAACAGGAAGCAAGATTAAGAGAAGGGGTTGTGTGAGGGTGAGAGTTAGAGGTTATTGAAGAGGAAACAAGATCGAAAGAAGGGGTTGCACTGTGGGTAAGGGTTAGAAGTTGATGAATAGTAAACAAGGATGATTAGAAGGGGTTGCCTGTTATGAAGTTAATGAATGGGAAACAAGATTGAGAGAAAGAAAAAGAAGTTAATGAATGGGGCGCATCCCTATAAAAAATTCAAAACATACAGAAGTATCCTTCTAGTATGAACAGCAGCTCTAGGCAAGTGGCTAACAAGGGACAAACAATTAAGAAAAGGTATGATATCTTTCCTGCTGAATTGGAGAAGTCCAAACACTTATTTCTGCATTGCTCGTCTAGGTACAGTGTATGGATTTATTTCATTTGGCTATTTAATGTGAACTAGTTCTGCCCAACTAGTAATATACTTCTCAAGACTCTTTTTTGGTGCAAAGATAGTACAAACTTTTTTTTTTTTTTTGGGGGGGGGCGGGAGGAGGAGGCTGAGAACCCATGTAGAATCTCAATATAAATGGCATTACTTTGTATTTTTTTCCTTACAATATGAACGCAGTTAGCTTACCTTTTAATTATATAGATGGGATTTGAAATCCCAGAGGGACTGTTGCTTGGTGTTATTGTAAAATCTTGTGCTGAAAAGCATGAGAATGCAGGTTTGAGTCTTTAGAGTGGCTGCGTTGTGCAAAATAAATAAATAAATAAATAAAGATTAGGTCCATATCCAGGCTACTCCTCCCACCCCAGATAGCTGGGACCAGCATTGGGTAATGACCTTTTTCTATTTGAAATCCCAACCAGAAACCCATTTTTTTGATCTGAGGTTTGACAGAAATAATTACTGGATAAAACTCAATGAGCCTTCTTCATTAGTATGCATGATGTATTTTCTGAAATCTAGTATGTTAAAATGACCTCTGACATCAAAAASTTGTTTTAGTGGATCCAACCAAAATAGTGAATTACCTTTCATTCAAGTTACCTCTTGGGCATATCTTGAGGAATTTTCCCTATTTACCTATATGATTGCTATGGGCATTGCAGCTCTCCTGCAATTGAAGACTTGAAGCAGTGTCTCGAATATACTGGACAACATTCAAAGCTCGTTGATTCATTTATTTCTTCATTGCAATATCGCTTACTTACTGCTGGTGCCTCAACAAATGACATATTACACCAATATGTTTCAACCATCAAATCACTGCTACAATAGATCCTACTGGTGTTTTCCTTGAAGCAGTTGGTGAACCAATAAGAGAATATTTAAGGGGAAGAAAAGATACCATTAAATGCATTGTTACCATGCTTACTGATGGGACYGGAGGAAATCCAAATGGACCTGGAAGTACTGGAGATAGCCTTCTTGAAGAGTTAAATAGAGATGAAGAAAATCAGGAGAATGCTGGTTGTGAAGATGATTTCAACCCTGATGACAAGCAAGCCTGGATCAATGCTGAGCGGTRTGTTACTTAATTGTAGGTTATGGATTATGTTAATTTATTCTACGGATATCTTTTGGAGAGTTCCTATATTGTTAGAAAGTACATATTTGTAATGGGAGTTCTATTCTTGTTTTCAGCTGGGAGCCTGATCCAGTAGAGGCTGACCCACTAAAGGGTAGCAGAAACAGAAGGAAGATTGATATACTTGGAATGATAGTTGGCATCATAGGTTCAAAGGACCAACTAGTTAGTGAATATCGTGTTATGCTTGCTGAAAAACTTCTGAATAAATCTGATTATGATATTGATTCAGAGATCCGTACTCTAGAACTTCTTAAGGTGAAGTTCCTGTTGATATTGAACTCATTACTTGTAACTAGAAGTTTGCTCTTCTTTTTTTATCTGTTTGACTTGTGTATTAAGATGTTCATTTCCTGTTATCATTTTTCAGATACACTTTGGTGAGAGCAGCATGCAGAAGTGTGAAATTATGCTGAATGATTTGATTGACTCTAAGAGGACTAACACCAATATAAAAGCAACCATAAAACAGCCATTACAAAGAAGTACTTATTTTCTAAATATGCATTCACTCTCTGAACTTATCATTGAGTAGTTTAGTACAGTTGACACTTTTTACCAAGTAATCATATTTACCCATTGGAAATGTGCAAATATGATTTGTTTGTCTGTCCTCAGGTGCTGAGCAAGGAGAGGCTGTGTCTCTGGATCTTCTTGATGCTACAATCATATCATCAAACTTTTGGCCCCCAATCCAGGTATTATAGAACCATAGTTAATATAATTGATTCTAACTAGTACCAGGTTTTGGGACTGATAAAAGAGAAAAGAAAAGAAAGATTTTGTCTCAGAATAAAGATGTCCAACCTCATTAACAAAAAGCTTGTCCTTGTTGAAATGTCAATGCTCACCCTCTTAGACTTTATAATCAATGCACATTGATGAGCTATTTTCCTAGATAAAATTAGATTTGGAATATCCATGGATGAAGATAAGAATGAATGGAAGTTCGTGCTTGTAGCCCTTAGAATTATGATACTAGAAGGAAACGGGAAGTAAAATATTACTTGTATGTCAGTACTAAAGATCAATTTCACAGCACCACACTGATTCAATTGAAACATGCTCAATTGTCAGGAATATGTTTTCCGAAAAGATTAGCTGGTTGTTTCACTTGACTGGTAAATTCAGTATAGATATTTAAAGCCAATACCAAAGAGCTTTCAGCCTTTTACTAGTAAATGCCTTTTTATCAGCAAATGAAACTTTTACTAATTCATTAATTACTGATTAAAGTACAAGAGTTCTAGAATTTCAGCAATGTAGTGACCCAGATTACAACAGATTACAGTTTAGCCCAGAATAAAGTCAGTCTATCTGCTCCTTGTTTGGCTAGGATATCCACCAAACCATTTCCTGTCCTTTTTACCCATCCAAACTGAGAGTTAAACCTCCTTGCAAGTAAGTCAATTTCTCTGAAGATAAATTTGAGCTTCCAAGGTGCTCAACTAATTTGCTTTTCCCAAGATATGACCAGGAGTGAATCTCCTTCAATTTCCAATTTGGTTGCTCTAATCTGCTCAGCCATTTTCAAGCCTTGCAGGAGAGCCAGAGTTTCAGTCTGAATTATTGAGTCACCAATGCCTATTGGTCCTGAGAATAGTACCACAACTGCTCCTTGGTGATTTCTGAGTACTTCCCCCATACCTGCTCTTCCCAAGTTACCGAAGGAACTCCCATCAAAGTTCAGATTTAGTTTATTTGGTGCAGGTGGTTTCTAATCCATTTTCACATTTTCTCTGAGTGAATCTGTTTGTACCACTTCAGTCCAATTCCTTAGAATGTCATTTATAGAGACATTCCTGAAAAGTTCCATAGTTTTTACCCAATGTGTAGATCTGATTTTTATAGCTTCAATCACTTCTTCCTTTGATTTGCTTTTTTCAGAGAAGATTCTTTGATTTCTTTCCTCCTAGATAGTCCACAACCATTTTCCTAGGCGGGCCATATTTTTCTTCAATAGGTTTCCTATACCTTGGCCACCTTGTTCCTTGGGTTTGCAGACTTGTTCACATTTCACTAAATGGTCTCTCTTTTCTTCTCCTAGTTCCACAAAAAATCTCTCATTATCTTTTCTAACTATCTAGCTATTTTCACCAGGATCCTAAAAGAGGAAAGCAAATAAGTGGGCAAGCTTGCTAGGGTGGAATTTATCAAGGTTATTCTTTCCCCCAAGGATATACAACTTCTCTTCCCACGTAGCTAGCTTCTTAGTAAATCTCTCTAGAAGTAGTTTCCAGAAGCTTTTTGATTTTGGGTTTCCTCCCAAGGGCATACCTAGATACTCTAGACTCCAGTTTTTTACCTCATAGTCTAGTAAACTTGCCAAGGCCTGAATGTCACCCTCTTCCAAGTTTATTCCATCTACACAATTAACTTTTACTTTTGAAATCTGTTGGAAATTGTCCACTAAAGATTTTAGATTCCTCAAACTAAGTTCATCACAATTCTCACAAAAAATGATAATGTCATCTGCAAATTGCAAGTGAGACACCACTACCTCCGACCTACCCATCCTCCAACCCCTAAACTGATTTTCTTGATCAGCCTTGATGATTTGCCTACTAAAAACCTCAGCAACAAAGGTGAATAAGAAGGGGGATAAGGGGATCACCTTGTCTTAGTCCTCTTTTTGCCGGAAAGAAATCTTTTGCTACCCCATTTAAAAGGATTGAGAAGTGTGTCGAGCTAACACCACCTTTGGTCCACATTCTCCATCTTTCATCCAAGCCAATCTTTTCCAAGAGACTCAATAGGAAGGACCAGTCCACCATGCCATAAGCTTTTTCTAGATCCAGTTTACATATCAGACCTTTGCCTCTCTATTTTTTCTTTGCTGCCACACATTCATTTGCCACTAGGATTTGATCCACTATTTGTCTCCCTTCCACAAAAGCTTCTTGGTTCTGAGAGATGGACAAGGGCAAGGTAGTCTTTAGTCGAGCAGCGAGGACTTTAGAAATGCCTTTTGTATTGAAATCAGAACTTGCGAAGACAAATGCTGTTCAACTTTAGGAGAACTAATACAACTTACTAGCCAACTGCATGGAAGTTGTAGAAGAGAAAATTATGATGGAAATCAAGCTACAGGGACCTCTCAGATTGTGGGTAGATGCACTTTCTGTGTGGCAGTTAATTTGCACATGGTCTTCCATTCAATAGAAACATCAAGTGCATCTTTGGTTGTGTTCATGACTGTTTAAAAGCTTTTGTTAAATAGTTATGTACAGTTTCCTATCCAATTTCATAATGAAAAAAATACTACCATATTGCCCACCTTACCAAATCCATGACAATTCTAACGCATGCGCTCCAAAGCATTTTTGTCAGCAGAAATTTTTATTTGAAACAATACAGTACAGTGCTTTTTGAACACAATAAGCTTTTATACATGCATGCATGCATACATACATACATACATGTGTCAATGTACATATGTGCATATGTATATACTTACCCTTTACCTTTTTTCTTCCACAGCATATTCACTTTTTATTTATTTTTAATTCGTTATATATTTGAATTTCAGAATCGCATCAGAAAGTTTCGGTTGTGGAATCTCTTCACAATATTTCTGCTGAATTTTCTTTGAATTATGTGGAAATGACAGTATCTTGACACGTACATGTTCATGTCTTTCTTAATTATCAATTTCCTTTTAATATCTTTGATATTGGAATAATTTTGTCCCCATTAGTTCAATGGCCTTGGTGCACTAAATGACATCAGAGAAATGACAGGAAGAAACACTTAACATACCTGAGACTGTGGATCAATTGCTTTCTGATTATGCGAAAAGGTTTAATGAAATCAAGACTCCTCGGAAGCTACTGTGGAAGAAAAATCTTGGTACAGTTAAGGTTAGCCATTTGCAAAACTTGAAGAGAGAACTTATTGTCCATTTCCAAGATTGATATTATTTATGAGATGAAACTTGGAAAATAGAAGCTTGGGGAGATTATCTTGTATTACAGAAAACAAAATATGAAATTTTCTATTCTCTTTCCTCCATGAATATTCTGCTTACTTGTGTCAATTCTTCTGTTTCAGTTGGAGTTGCAATTTGAAGATCGAGCAGTGCAGTTCACAGTGGCTCCAGTGCATGCTGCAATCATCATGCAATTTCAAGATCAAACATGGTATATTGGAATTGATGCTTTTCCATGATTTTTCAAGTTATGTTCTAATAATATTTATATCATGTGTGTTCAGCTGGACATCTAAGAACCTTGCAGACACTATTGGGGTACCTGTGGATATACTAAATCGAAGGATAAACTTCTGGATAAGCAAAGTATGTCTGGTCGTTCTTTTTAATCAAGAAATAATTGTTGCTTACTGTTCTCTTCTGTTCTTTATTTGGGGGGCTGCACAGGGAATCATTGCAGAATCAGGTGCAGGGTCAGATGACCATACATTTACCCTTGTAGATGGCATGATTGATGCTAACAAGAATGGCATTAACAGTGGGACCTGTGAGGAGCTTCTAGCAGGTGATGAGGAGGGAGACAGATCTGTGGCCTCTGTTGAGGAGCAAATACTGAAAGAGATGACTGTATATGAGGTTTATGATCTGCACCTTTCATGATATACAGTTTTTGTGCAGCCTATTGTTTTGGGCTCAATTTTTATATCCATTCTAACTTAAATTCCATTTGTCTTAAATTTTTCTTCTTTTTTTCTTTCCCTCCCCATTTTCTTTGGACAATTGAAAAACAAATGGCACTACAGTTCTAGGGTATCTGTTGATTCACAGAAACATTGTCATCTTGTTTTATTGAGAAAACCATCTTTTTGCCATAATTTTAGCTTTATCTTAGTATTAAGAGCTTATATGATTTTAAATTTGTTTTGGTTTTTATATATAAGAAATCAGAGAAGGCTCATCTGTTTGTTTCTTTTTATTAAACAAGTTGATTGGTGTGTTGTTTAAAATAGGAGATATGATGATTGTTGCCTTTTAGAAGACTGATCATTTAAAAAAATTACAATCATGACTTCATAAAAGAGACATGTAAAATCTTTCCTATTTTCTTCTTGTCCATAATTTTTTGGACAACCTCTCTGTGTTGTCTATAGATTAACGTTATGGATAATATGGTCATATTTTATGCTGCCATCTAATAGCTCAATATCAGCCATTAAAGGATAACTCATTGCTTCTTGAGTAAGTTTTTCTTACTGAGAAGCAAGAAATTTATGTATTGTTAGTGTTGAATTCTTAAGAAACTTATACTTTAATTAATGAATACAAGTTTATGAAATGACCAACCAAAGAGATATGTGTTTATTAGATGGTTTCATCTAATAAATTTATTTATTCTTGCAGAAATTTATCATGGGGATGCTTACCAATTTTGGCAGCATGGCATTGGATCGAATTCATAATACTCTCAAGGTAACTAAAGGTCTTGATCAAAGTATTGTTATCCAGTGTTTGTGAACAAGAACCAGATGAATGAGTCTGATAAGGGTATTTCATCCAGATGTTCTGTGTAGCTGATCCTCCCTATGACAAGTCACTGCAGCAGCTGCAAAGCTTCTTGTCTGGTCTTGTGTCAGAGGAGAAGCTTGAATTGAGAGATGGTATGTACTTTCTGAAGAAGTAGCACAAGATCGAGGGACTGCATTAATGTAATTCAAAGATTTAAGTAAATGATCTGGGTAAGTATCCCTTGCATTCTAAGATTAGATTTGTTTTTAGACATGCTATTTGTTCCTTTGTGGTATAATCTTACAGTAACACATTCAGAAACAAAAACATAAAATTCTGTTATGTTTAGTTGTATCTCTATTGCTTCTACAATTTTTTTTTTTAATTTTCTGTGATTACATGAAGCTAATAATTGATTATTTGATGCTTGGATTGGTAACTTTTTATGCATGGAGAAAAAACAGTTGAGCTGCCTTGAGGGGGGAAATAGGAATTAAAGATTGAGGACTCAGGTTGGGTAGTTTGTGCTGGAAGATCATGTTACATTCACCACCAGTCTAAAATTTGGTTGCCCTCTTCTCATTATGTGATTGTGGACCATGTTGGCCAGTCTGCTGCTTAGGACTGCTGAGAAGTCGTATACCAGTTAAGGATTGATTTAAGTCAGTTTTATCTTCAGCAACTCAATGGCAGATAAAGGCCACTACCCAATGGCAGATTGGCAGATGTGGTGCATTTACTTGAGGAACCTGTGATAATTTCTATATATCATGCTTCTGGTAATTGTAATCTTGATTATGAGACTTGTTTACTGAAGGCATTGTTGTATTAATATTCATCAGTACAGTAGTACTTGGTACTTGTATATTTACATTAGGAGTTCATATATTGCAGTGCTGTAATGTGCTTTAGATGGAAGTTGGAATATGATTGCTTGAGTGAACCAAGTCCCCGGAAGGATAATATCAATTCAAAGCAACTAAAATTGTATCTAACGTTGATGGTGTTTTTGAAAGCGTGCAAAATTTTCAGGAACGCTGGTGGTGCAGGGGGAAGTCCAAGAATTTGGTATATAAAATATTGCTGCACGCATGTTGTCCACTGTGTATGCAGTAGATAGTTGGATTGAGCTTCTTGGCTTGGGCTATGGCTATGTCTGTACGAAGATACAAGACAATTAGTAACCGAGCCTGAGAACCCTCCCTTGACCATTTGATGGGTCTCAATTCGCAGTTGGTGTGGATCAAAAGCCTTGTGATGTTCAACCTCTACCTCACCTGTTCCAACGTCAGAGTCCAGAATTTTTAGTGAACAATACCGCACCGCTACCTAACCTTTATTTATTAGTTTTGCTGCGATCAAGCAAAGCACCACCGAAAGTGGGCGAGAAGTTCCATATTTCTTACATTACATATGGAGCCAGAACCTCAGACCTTAGAAATAGCTAAATACATATTCTTTTATGTATTGAAATTTGGTATTTGCTTTCATATTATGTTTTTGCACCTAGGCTGTTCGTTTGCGGTGCAAACCTGAACCATATACAATTTTTACACCTGGTTCAATTTTGTATCCATTTGTTTGTAACTATTATTTTTGCATTCCAATCTGATGCAAAATTTGTACTTTTTTTTTTTTGGGTCTCATTGCACTAACAATGCACATTTTTTGCATCCTAAACATTGTATGCAAAATTTGTACATCCCTCCTACAATTCTCTCATATAAAGTGGGGTCACATGATCTTGCTTCTTACCTCACTCCCCAAACCAATAATCCCTCCTATCCCATTTTCTTTCTTATGAGGAACACATCTTTTCTCACGAGCAAGACAAAAGTCAAATCTGGAGTAAAAATAAATTAGAATTTACACAACTTATTTGCACTTGCATGCATTTACACAAGTTTGGATCTGCTCACAATAAAAACTGTTCCATCATGATCTGTGTCCACACCGCAGACATGGTGAGCCCCGTCTCATTGGGAGATGTATACACAGATCATGTTAGAAGTGTATCACTGCATTGGGAAAGTTTATTTATTTATTTTTGTGAGCACATTCCGTCTCAATTTGCACCAGTGCAATTTTTATTTGGACTGTCATTCATTTGTTTTAAGCATGAACGTGTTTGGTTCGCAGGAAAGACTACATACGCTACAACAATTGAATTTGATTTGCAGATATGGGCCTAATGGTTATAGGTTAGCTGGACCTTCCTGTGACTTGGCCTAGGTTTGAAGAATTGACACCCACAAATGAATGGGTCCGAGCCAAGACATTGGTTATCTCAGGAATGATCATTGTCGGTAGACTGTTGTATCATCTGGAGTTTATCAGGGCTTCACTTGTTTAAAATTGTTCACCGTTCCATTACACCCTGATCCTGTAAGATCAGGCGGTTATGATCTAATCTTCCGAACATAACTTTTTCTTCGCGAGATCTACGTGATAAGACCCAACTGATGGTGGATCAGATGATTCAAGCATATGGGACAGGTGGCAAGTTATAGGTCATTCTATACGGAGTTAAAATTCATTCCCTCGGTACGTTTAACGAGTGGACGTGGACGTGGACGTGGATGTGGAGAATATGGTCTACAGTGTTGGAGCGCATGTGCGGACAGAACTGCTTCGACTCGATTCTTTTGGAGTGCGGTCAGGGCTTAGGGTGTCGTGATCTTGCAATGGGAGTTGTCACGCCAACGCCATCGGTTGCGGAGAGAGAGTGTCCTATTGACGCGATAAAAGCGTTGTGGATTACATCCACGTATGTCCAATAGTCTCTTCATCCTCTATCGTTCATCTTTACCCTAAATCCCCTTCCTAGTTGACAGACAATCCATACATATGCCATCAAAATTCAGAAATAACAAAACAAAACAATAAATAGATAAGAGAGAGAAGACCTATTACAATTCTTTCTAGAGAGACAGACAGAGAGAGTGTATAAAAATAATTCCATGCCATCCCTAACGTCTTTGGTGACGCTGCTATCACTGCTGTGGAGAGTCGTGTTTTGCTTGGCTGAAGCCGCTGCTGATTTCTTTACTCGGAGGTTTTGAACGGGGTTTCATCGGTTTTCTTTTTCATCTTTTCTAATTTCGGGGGTCTATAAGTCTATATTTATTTTTATGTTCCATTCATTCATGCAATCAATCTCATCACTGAGCCGGCCTGAAGCAAAGATTCAATAAAGACGAAGCATTTAGGCGATTAGGTTTCAGGTGAGGGATAATAATTTCATTGTTTAGTTTAACATTCCTTCCTCCTTGTGATTAGAATGCCTCACTCAATACAATACACTTCCATCCACTCTATCTCTTTGAACTAAAACCCAATAAGAATCTCTTACTCTTAATTTTCTTTTTTTTTTTTTTATTGCTCTTTACTTTTCCGCCCTGGAGGGGGTTAAATTGATCTGCTTTAACAGGGGCCCGAGAATGGCCGAATTTGGGAAGACGCAGTGCCATTGCAACCGTGAAGAGCGCGTTTTCTTGAGCAGTTTTCATTCTTTCACATAAAAGATAGAATAAATTAATTTTGCATCCCAATAAGAGAAAGGAAGAAAGCGTGATTAAGATTAATTTCATATAGTATTTGCTTCTTTTAACTTTGCATGTAGCAGAGGATGATGGGGGGAGGAGGATCAATTGTCCATACAAGAGACCTTGAGAATTGAGACCCCCCCCCAAAAGGGATTTTTTTTTTTTTGTCCTTGCCTATTATTTCTTATTAATCATGATAATTATCGAAGGTCTTAATGAAGTTCCGGTTGGTACAGTACAAATCTCAAAACTTTGCCCAATTCAATCGTTTATTAACTGAAACAGCGAAACTTTTGATCAAGAAGGTACTCTCATTTATGATTTATTCATTCAAAATTTCAAAATCAAATCATTACAAGATGAGAGAACGAATACTTGTTTCTTACGAAAAGAAAAAGTCCCCCGACTCCCCCGGTCCCCGAGTTCCCAGTTCCTGATTTCCACGTATTTTCGGTATACCCAGTTACGTATTCTTGCCCCTTCACGTATTTTGTTAACGTGGGATTCTTCAAAGTCTGGAAACAAAGGAGATCAATTGCGTTGACAAAAAACCTAATTTGTATTTACTATATATCCCATGAAGAAATATTTGCATCATGATCATATGACTGACAGTTGTCCCTTGCATTTATTAATCGCGAACCCAAGCTCCAAAAAGAAAGAGTTCTATGGTCCGAGGAAGTTTTGTAGGAAGATATTTAAAGAATTTATTATTACTAAGAATTCGGTATTGCCGTTTTGTTATTCATCTTAAACAGTGAATTTGGAGCCCAACATGAAAAGAAAAGGGGGG